AAATATGATATGGATGGCTTTGGAGTTGAGCTGGAACATTTTTGTCTCTCCTTCACTCAATAATCTTGGATGAGTGAGAGGCTTGAAGTATCCTTCTTCTACGACATTCCATGCTCCCATGTCACTTGTTTAAATGAAGTACATCATCCTATTTTTCCAATAAACATAGTTAGCCCCATTGAAGAAATGAGGCTTGTTGACGGGCATCGAATCGAGACCGGAGTCGAAGTTTGAAGCGGAGGCCATTGATGACTTTGATTATCGATATAACTCTTCCCGAATCGACTCAAGAGGCGATTAAACCTTCAAATGAGTTAGGCTTTGATACCAATTATTGAGTTAATCGATTGACGGAATCGACCAAGAGGGGGTGAATTGGCAATTAAAATTTTGTGGAAGCTTTTGCAGAAAATTGAAAGTAATTGCACAACAATTTAGAGTGGTTCGACTTTATCAACCAAAGTCTATTTCCACTACCTTAGGTATCCACACTAAGGATTTTCCAACAAATTCACTAATTTGTTCTTTCTTTTGAGGCCAAAGAGATAACCTTACAACTTCCTCAAGAATATACCCCAATTCTTGAGAACAATCTTTTCTCAAAGAGAATAATACAAATTTGCAAACTCACAAGAAAAACCTCACAAGGCAAATATGTTTGCACAATTCTAGAACAAAGGAAGAACACTCAATAATAAATACAATTGAGCACAATAAATGTTCTTGAAAGCAAAATGAATATTGAATGAAAAATAGGCTTGAAATGCTCAAACTTGAGGTTTGATGCTTTCTCTTTGATTCTCTCTTGATTCTAGTTGCTTGATGTTTCTTGTTATTGATCAATGGCTTCTAAGCTTGCTTAAATACACCTTGAATCACTTCTGAATGTTGGGGATGATTAGTGGAGTCAATATAGCCGTTTAAGTGTGAAAATAATTAATTAAAACAGTTGGGAACGTCAGTGCATCGATGCATACCCATGGTGCATCAGTGTAAAATTCAAATATTTTGACCGTTGGACCCTTAGTGCATCGGTACACTAAGAGTGCAACGATGCATCAAGTGCATTCGATGTTTCAAAATAGCCAGAGTGCATCGATGCATGGTTGGTGCATCGATGCATCAAATGCATTCGATGTTTTCATAAAATCCTCAGTGCATCGGTGCATGGTATGTGCATCGATGCATGAAATGCATTCGATGTTTAATTTAATTCATGGTGCATCGATGCATGGATTGGTGCATCGGTGCATCACTCTGAAAAATTGATTTTAGGCTTGATTTTGTTTCAAAATACTTTATGAAAATTGTTTCAAAAATATATTAAGTATAAAACACAATTTTACACATTTAGTAAGGTTTGAAATTGATCTTAAAAGACTTGGAGTAATAATTTGATATTCGATTAATTGAATCGAATATATTTAGAAAATCATTTGTAAAATCTTAAAATTTATTTAAACTAATTTGTTATATCGAAATATAAAAATGTTTTCAACACAACTGTCCCAAGTACTTAAGAGAGAATTCCACATTAATTGCTTGCACTATGGCATCCACTTCTATCACCTGATTTCCTGTGATGATTATATAATCTACATACACCATTAATAATACTTGAGAACATGTTGAGTTTCTTATAAACAAGGAAGAATCAGCCTTCGAAACAACAAAACCCAAGTTTGCAACCAGAAACTTCTTCAAAGTCTCAAACCATGTTGTAGGCGCTTGTCTAAGCCCATAAAGAGCCTTTTTTAAGCAACACGCTAACTCCTTCCCATCTTCACTTTTCTGCTCAAAGCCAAGAGGCTGACACATGTATATTTCCTCTGCTAACCTTCCATTTAGGAATGCATTATTGATGTCGATTTGCCTAAGTGGCTATTCTTTCATGACAACAACAGCCAGTACAGTTCTTATCGTACTTGCTCAAACTACTGGACTAAATGTCTCAGAGAAGTCTCTCCCTACCATTTGAGAATACCCCTTGGCCACTAGGCGAGCCTTAAGTCTGTCAACTGACCCATCTGACTTCTTTTTCACTTTAAAAAGCCACTTGCAACCCACTGCTTTACGCTCTGGAGGCAGAGGCTTTAACTCCCACGTACCATTCTTCATAAGAGCAGTATATTCACTTTGAACAGCCTCACACCAAGCAGGATGTTGTAATGCTTCATAGACATTTGCTGGCTCATGAGGACTTGTCTCATTAAGCAGCTCTTAAAGATGCCAACTTTGCCACGGGTGACCATAGGATGAGCATTCTGAACTAGCGGAGGTGAAGATGGTGGTGGTGATGGTGAAGGTGGAGGTGGAGATGGTGAAGATGAAGATGAAGTAGTAGTTTCAATTGATTCTGAGATGCATGGATGAGATGGGGAGGAGATGAATTGTTGTGATGAATATGATACATGTGGTGAAGATGATGATGGTGTAGAAGATGATGAATTTGAATGGAAATTTGAATGAGATGAATTTGGAGGAAGAAATGGAGATGTGATGTGTTGTTGTGTTGAAGATGATACATTTGGTGAAGGTGATGATGTTGATGGTGTAGTAGATGGTAAGATAGATTTGTGATTGTGTGTGCTAGTGGGGATGGAAAGAAAAGAAGGTGAACTGGAAGTGCAAGAGAGAAGAAGAGAATAAGGTACGAAGACAGTGATATTTCAGAATGTGAAGTAGAAATATACAATGATTTAGGAAAATAAGAAAATACTCATTCTAATTCTAAATAGTGGACAGGCCCACTATATATACAGATAAGTCTATCTAACTAGCCCAACTGACTAGAAATCTGTTACAACGGATTTAACAAAAGCAGTTACAGCAACGGGTATAAAAGCAATTACAGCAACGGCTATAAACTGATATATGATATACTAATCTCTATAAGGGTCGGTTGGAGAGTACAGGACAGGTCCGTAACAGATACTTGAAATATATGTCAATAACTACATATTCTATATATGTTCTTATGTTAAATATGCTCTTGGTGTAAGCTTTATAATGTTTTTTGCTGTTTATTTTGAATTGCGGCTATGAAGAACGTGAATCATGTACTTTAATCTATCACTAATAATTGTTTTATGTTTTCAGGTTGTTGCTGTCAAGCAGCTCGATAGAAACGGTCTTCAGGGAAATAGAGAATTCCTTGTTGAAGTTCTCATGCTTAGTCTCTTACACCATCCAAACCTCGACAACTTGATTGGTTATTGTGCCGATGGCGACCAAAGGCTCCTTGTCTATGAGTTTATGCATTTAGGGTCACTGGAGGACCACTTACACGGTAAGGGTGCCAGTATTTTAGTATTCATGATACTCGTTGTCTGCGTGTAAACTGAATCACATCCTCGTGATTAATTATGAAGTACTTTCATGTCAGTGGACGTATGGCTATTTGCTTTTGCCTGTCTTGAGAAGCTACAATTTTTCGATCAAGTAAATTGAAATAGAAGGTTTTGTAGCCTTAATTTACCAAGTGATAATGCAACATTGGATTGACTTTTAGTGTAACAATGCTCCATTCAATAGAGGCCTTTGAACTGGTAATGAAGAGTTAATACCTATTATAATAAGATAGAAACATTTGTAGAATTGTAGGGAGAATGAATGGCTTCTGTTTCCCGGAATTAATAGTCTGTTACTCGTGGCTTCATCTACAATATATTTCCAGACATTCCATTGCTTCAGTGCCTGGTCTCTTCTTAATGCCTATTTAAGCTCTCCAAAGGATTTTTTGTATACTTTGAAGCACTACCTGGTCATTCAGTTGATGCTGAATTTTGTTTGGTTGATTTGCTAAATTTAAAAATGTCAATTCGTGACGTTCTTTAAATAAAACGATTTTAAACTTCCCCTTCCCCTCCAAGTAGCTTCTACAGGAATTTTATCGAACTTTAAGAAACGGAGAAATGGTCCATTTCGGAAAAACAAAACCGTGACTGTATATTAGCTAATATCCTGCTTTGATTTGCATGCTAGCTCTCTCTCTTGTTTGATCTTATTAGTTAGAAATCAATGTGAAATCATCTCGTCCTTGAAACTACTCTGTTGGATCGGGTTATTTAATCAACACACATCATGAGCATGAACTGAAACCTGCCAAAAAAATCTAGCAGAAACCATGTTTGTATCATTTCAAAGGGTCGTCAGCACCTTGAAATATATAAACACCAACAGTTACTCTCAGTTTCTCCATTTCTACCCAGGAAATAAGAGTCCATGCACGTTAAAAAGGGATATTGAGCAGTTGATTTGTTTGGGGGCATTCGCAGTTAAATTTCTATGCATTTAGGCCTCTTTTTTTATGGTTGAGATTCATGTTTATAGGAAATGATGGAAAGAAGTGTAATTTTTGGCCTCCATTGATATGATTAGATTCATGCTCATATGCAAATCAAATTACTTGGTATGTATTTTGCATCATATTAGACGTAATTACACTAATCAAATATGATACTAAAAAATATTAGGATAAACTACTCCACTTAACTATGTGGTCGGTGTCAATATTATCATCATACTTTTAATTTTGTTAATGTACCCATATAATTATAAGGTTTGTGTCGAAATGATCCATGTATTTTATAATTACTTTATATATTGATATTTTGAATAGTATTGGAACTCTTGTTTCAAATTAGAACTCATAAAGATCTTCAAAAATATTTGATTATTTAATGAAAGTTTTTGAGACGAGAAATTTTGGAATCAAATTCTGTGTCAGTTTATACATCGAGTACATGAATACAAAATTGTTTATAAAAATTGACACATATCAAAATTTACTGAATTTTGAAATATGATATTCTTTTTTTTTCTTTTACTGAATTTTTATTCTACAATTTCCTAAGTAAAATTTGAACAAGGAACAACATTGAAGAAGAATTATTATAAATAATATTAATGTGAATATATTTTTACTTTTTCATTCCCTTTGTACATCCCCTTTGCAAAGCAAAGCACAACAAATATCTCTCTTTGAATATGGGTTTAAGGAAGAATACCATATAAATACAAACAATACATGAAAATTGAAGTGTAAAATCAATCAGATAAATACATGTAAAACACATTAAATGACTGTCACTGATCTTTCTTCAAATCCCCAGCTGTGGATGAACCAGCAGCTTTTTCTTCCTGCAAAAAGAAACCCTAATTAATACTTACAAATTCTCTTTTCCCATGGCAAATCAAACTTGTAATTGTTTAATATTATGAAACTCTTCACTTTCTTATTTGAGCTTCCATGTATAAATCAATATACCTGTTTTTCAACCGCTGTTGAAACTTCAGCTTTGGTAGGACCGTTAGCTGGTTTTGATTCTTCCTCTTTCTTCACAGTTTCATGTTTTCCTGAGAATCATACAAGAACACATGAAATAAGTGTAGGAATATATACAAATTACGGCCATTGAAGGATGCATTATCAGTTTATATTCAAGCACCATTTGCAGTTTCTTCAACAGCTTTTTTATCCTTGAAAGTTTCCGTCTTTGAATCTTCATCCAGTTTCTGATCCTTTTTTGTTTCTTCAGCAGCAGCCTTGATTTCCTCCACAGTTTCTACTTTTATCTCTTCATCCATTGTTTTATTCTTCACATTATCTTCCTTCTTCGGTTCCGTGTTTTCAGCTATCTTCTTCCCGTCAACACCTTCGCCGGAATTGTCGTTTTCGCCTTTCGGTTGCTCCGATGAGCTTGTTTTGCTATCATCTTTCGTCGTTTCTTCAACGATTTCCGAGCTCTTCCCCTTCCTGGACCTCACGCTCGAGTTCTTCTGGCTGACGGTCGTGGCAACCCCATCGGAACCGCCTTCCGAGCTCCTCTTGTCGTCAACTTTTTTCGTTTCTTCAACGGCTTCGGAGCTTGGCCCCCGCTTGGAACCCGCTTTCGAGTTCTTCCGGCTAATGGTGTTCTCGGTGGCGACGGAGTGTTTAGATCCACCACACCCCATTTCTGCAAATTGTGAAGCACGACAATGAAGATCGAATGGCACCCTCTCGTCTTTAACAAATCATCAATGGGAAAGATGGTATATTTTTAGAAACTGTCAAATTTGCAGGCCAGCAAGGTTTTGTTGGCCTGCAATGGAGGGGATATCAGCTGGATTTATGGAAACTGCTAAGAACATCACGATTCACAACAGCTTTAAATTATAAAACAAGATGGAAACAAGTTGTCACGAAGAGTTTGGATTATCATAAAACAATGATTGGACAATATTTCTTAAGCCTCTATTTGGGATTCCCTAATCTGTTTTTCATCCACTGGACCTCTTCCTTTTCTTTGCTACAATATTGCAGCTGTTTCAGCCTAAGAAACCTCCCCCCACAAATTCTTGGCCATTCACACCGATAATTAGATGTTCTAATATTATGTTCCGTTTTAATACTTAAATTTTATTTTTTTTCTAAAATTATACTAATATTTAGTTTATATTTCAATTTGATACTTCATAATGAAAAATTTAGAGACAAGGATGTCGTTGAATTATTTTCTCTTTTTTAATATTTCACATGTCTTGTAATGTAAATTCCACAACATTTAAATTTTTAACGATAAGGTACCCAAGTAAAACCTAAACTAAACATGATATTAAAAAAATAAAATTTAAGTACTAAAACGAAAAAAATAATAGTTTAAATATTAAATATGTAATTTACTGTTTACCCTATTATTATTTGAATATATTAATATTTATAGAATACATAACATGTTCAAATTTGTATAAAGATATATATATATATATATATATCTATATATGACATTGATGTTAACTATTGATTAGGTACTAAATCAGTTGATATAAAAAGATTTTATAAATTATAATTAATATTATTATAATTATTTTTCATATTTTATATAATATTTATATAAAACACTAAAATAACTAATCCTTCATCTTTATGATCTCATATTTAATCATTTGTTGACTAAAAATTATAAATATATCTATATATTGGATAAAGGGTAAAAAAACCTTATCGAGCCTTTATAGAAGTTGAGTATCGAAATTCGTATTCTGGTATAAAGTAAATACTTTAAATTTCTCGAATGCCAATAATGGGCAAAATTCCTCATATAACTGCCCCAATATTGATAAGCAAAATTAATTTTTAAATAGTGTTTTTAAAGATTATTTTTTTCATATAGAGTAAAATAAACAGTGAAATATGAAGAGAGTAAGGATATATGGCGTCTTCTATTTTAAATTTAAAAAATTATTTTCTTCTTCGCGTGATTCCTCTCTGGTGACACCAAAGACACCTTGCAGTTTTAACATCTTCATGAAGATGTCGTGTAGTCTCGTCATCTTTCTCGAGAAGACGTCATGTAATCTCACCGTCTTCTCCGTGCACTATTTCTATTGCCCTAGTTGAGAAAATAAAACTCCATCTACACAATATGAGTTTTTTTTTCTTGTATCATTATCTGGTCAAAATTACCATTATTTCTTGAATGCCTATTCTTATGAATATTGCAGACACAAATTTTACACTCGATAAGATCTAAAAAGATGAGGAAATGAAAGATAATTTAGACAATATTTCTTTGATTCTTCTTTTTTATATAACTTTGATTCTATATGGTCGTTTAGAGTTAATCATGGTATTCGTTTCAAGGACCATTGATGCAATACCCAAAAATATGGTTAGTGATCAAAATAAATAAATAGAAAGTTTGGTGGCTAAAGTATAAACTTGACAAAGTTTAAGATCAAAGTACAATTTTAAAAAGTTGTGTTACCTAGTCCCGTAAATGAATATTTTATCCCAAGAATGATGTTTTCGTGAGTTTCAAATTTTCGTACGGAGTTTGTATCAAAAGCTTTAAAGTGTGAAAGTTCGAGGAAAATTCGGATAATCGGATCAAATCAAAAATTCAAGAAAATTTGCTAGATGATAAAGCAAAGGGAAAAGATGTCTTTTACATACTTTAAAAATGATAAGATTTAATGTGGACCATTGAATTTAAGTTGATTTCCATGTTGAATCTTAGCCATTGGATTAAAAAGGATAAGATTGTAATTTTGGAACTTTACAAGGGTAAAGTTGTAAACTACTAACTTCATGGATTAATTTCAACCCTTGGATGATAAATTTGATACGTGGCATGATTAGGATCATTAGATTTTAAGGTCATAATAGTTATTTTGAATTAAAATGAATTTTAAATTCATTTAGGTTATAAAATATAAAAAATGGACAAAAAAAATATTCAAGAGAGTTCTTGAATTGCTGCTTCTGCCGTGAGTTATAACAAGCTACATCAATACATTGTCTTTAATTATAGTTAATCATTGTTGTATCTTGGGTGCATGAACGCTACCGACCACTATTGATGTTTTTATTAAATCTGATTTAAATTTATTTTTATTAAATATTTAAAAATAATTTAATTTTTAATATAAATTAAATATTATAGAAACTAATATAAAAATAATTTTACAATTTAATTTATTCAATTTTATATTATCAATATTTAAATTTTAAATTATTATTAAAAAATTAATATATTATCTTGTTAATATAAAATAATATTATAATAATTTTCTTCTTTTTCCTTTTTATATTCGGAAGCAACATGATTTGAATCCAACATGGGTCTGTGACATTATCTAGTTCTCTGATTATTAATATTATGTCTATATCCCAATTATTATTATTTGATTATCCTCTCGATTTTTTATGGTTTTAGTCTAATTAATTCGGATCGATTCGCGTCGCATATCTGACTTTGATATATGAGTTTCTTATTGAGGATTTTCTACATATATAAAATCTCGAACTCAAGACTTAGTAATATCAAACTGCTTATCACGTGAATCAATCTCAATTATTTCTAAATCTAAATTATTAAAACGACTTGAAGAACCATGAATTGATTGATTGGATTTTCTTTAATATCGAAAGTTAAATTATCATGTGTCATTTAATATACATATAATGATAGTAATCAAAATTATTATTTGTATTTATAAAAGTTCTAATTCAACCTCATAATTTGAGTTTTGTTATTTGAAGTAAAGCATAACATTAATAACAATAAAATGATTAATTTTGGTTGCATTAAAATACTGAAATTAAATTTAATAAAAAAATCATAAATCTACTTCAATGAAAATAAAGTGAATTATGATGGAAGAAAAGTTTTTAGATTCAGCTTGAAGTTAAAGGTAGGGGGAGCAGAAAGGGAAATAATGCGTCTTGCACATGTTCGATAAAATGATCCTACGACAGAATTTTACGGACGGAGACACGATTCGCTGAGACTACGAGTAATCCCTTTCCCTCACTGCCACTCCACTCCCCGCCACCCTCTTTCACAACAGAGTCTCATTTATTTCTAGGGTAAACTACTCAAATGGTCCCTTGACTATTAGGTACTGCTTTGTTGAGTCCGCTAACTATTAAAAGTTACAAAATAGTCTCTTAACTGTATGACGTTGTTTTGTTGAGTCTTCTGACCATTAAACGTTACAAAATGATCACCGACTATTCATATGTTTCAAACTTATCTTTTTCTTTAGAAAATAATGACAATACGATATGAACGTTAATATGTTGACTGGGGAGATGATAAAATCTGATACCATAATCGTTTTAGGTATATTTTGTGGATCGAATATCCATTTACATTATATCGTCGAGCAAATACGTTAAATATTATGCTGGTGAGCTAGTACTTGAAAGCAACGACAGTGTTACTACACATCATTAAAATATGATTTTTATTATATCTTAATCAATATTTTAACTTTTAACTCATACGGGCGTTAAATTTTTAACGAAATATGATGATTTTGAAATATATGAATAGTTAGGTGATCATTTTATAACTTATAATAGTCGAGGGACTAATAAAACATTATTTTATAGTCGATGAATTATTTTATAATTTTTATAATCAGGGAACTCAACAAAACAATACTCTATAATAGGTGTTCATGGTGTACTTTATCCTCATTTCTATTGTTAAATTATTATTATATTGATTATTTGCCTTTTAATGTAAAAAGTTTAGCATATTATCATGAAAAATTAAATAATATTTAGGGTAGCTAGTCATTCAACTTAATTACTCTAGTTAAAGAAAAGTTGATTTGACATATCTATATATTTAACGGCAATTGATTTAATTATTATATCTTAATTAATTAATATCTTTTGATAAAAATATGTTATTTATTTTTTATTTTATTGACTAAAATGATATTTTATTGATAAGAAAATAAAGAAAAATGTCAAACGTATGCTATGAAAATCAAACTTAGGACTCATGGAAAAGGTCCAATATCTAAGTGGCACATCAAATTAAAAATTTATAATATTGTTAATAAAATTAATATGTAAGTCAATTATAGTTAAAATTAATTAATTTATTTTATAAAATATATTAATTATAAGGTAAACTATAAAATAATATAAAAATATATTTTTAAGAACAATTAAAATATATTTTATAAAAATATATATAATTTATGTTATAAAATTAAAAAAATTGATGAAGAATGGAGTAAATTTATTATAATATATTAATTATAAAATATTATAAGAATATATTTTCAATATAATCATTTTAGTTAATATTATAAATATATATATTTTTATAATATTTTATAATTTATATTATAATTAAATATTTTTACTTTTTATCAGCCTTTTAATTTTGTAGCATAAATTACAAATAATATTTATAAAAGATATATATTTCACTTGATGTTATAATCGATATTAACAATTTTCTCATATAAAATAAATGAAAGATCACAATTTAACATAAAATATTATTTTTTATTTATGTTATAATAAGTTTTAGACATGTGTAATAATTAGGTATCGAATCCCTCTTAAGATCTCGAATTCAATCATCATCATTTATATTTTATATTTTTTGGGTAAAGTGTAAAAATGGTCATTCGACTATAGAGTATTGCTATGTTAAGTCCCTAAACTATTAAAAATTACAAAATAGTTACCAAACTATTCATATATTCCAAACTCGTCTTTTTTCGTTAAAAAATGACGGTTGTCTGAGTTGTGTGTTAACGTGCTAGTTGGGATAAGATAGTTGTTTGAGATATTAAGATCAAATTTTATCATATTCTAGTAAGTAGATTAATATCTAGCTCAAACTGCCTTCAAATTTTTTCACAAAAAATGATGAGTTTGGAACATATGAATAGGGATGGCAATGGGTCGGGTCGGGTTTTTGGGCCACCCGACCCGACCCGAGAAGAAAGGGTTTTTCACCCATGACCCGACCCGACCCGACGAAATTAAGGTTTCACCCGACCCGACCTGACTCGAATATATGACTTAGAAACCCGACCCGACCCGACCCGAAATAATAATAAAAAAAATTTTATTCAATGAAAACAGTGACTTAATTGAAAAAAATTATATATGGAGGGACATTATTGTAATTATCCCTAAATATATAGGATAAAATTATATATTTTTCGGGTCGGGTCGGGTCGGATTTTTTTCACCCTAATCCCGACCCGACCCGACCCGAACAGTACATTTAAAAAACCCGACCCGACCCGAACCCGAAATTTTTTTAAAAAAATCCGACCCGATCGGGTCGGGTCGGAACCCGTCGGATTCGGGTTGAGTTGCCATCCCTACATATGAATAGTCAGGTGACCATTTTGTAACTTTTAATAGTCGAGGGATTCAATAGAGTAATATCCTATAATCAATGGACTATTTTATAATTTTTAATAGTCGAGGCTCAATAAAGCACCACTCTATAGTCAGGGGACCATTTGTGTATATTATCCTATATTTTTCTAGCAGCAATAGAGTGAACGAATATATCGATTCAACTATTGTTAAATATCTTTGCATAATAATCAAAATAAAATGATGATAGTGGATATGCTCACTCAAACTATTGTTAAATATGGGTGCATAATGATCAAATGAAAATATTTCTTAAAGTCACTGATTTTAAGGAAATAGTAATGATTGTAATGATCAAAATACAAATAACTTACAAGTTCAGTGAGTAGAAGAAATATAATATACTCAAATAATAATATAAACGAGAGGCATTTGCCTCTGTTGTACATTTTAAAGAAACACGACAATCAATAAACTATCCCATCTTCCCAAATCAGGAAACCCCCTCCTCTTTCTGGGTTTCCTCTGGAGAAAAACAAAAGCCATAAGAGAGAAAGAACAAAATTCTGTTTTCTTCCAATTCTCATGGAGACGGAAGCCTCTTTGGCCAATGAACGCCTTCATTTTGGGAAGATGGGATATGGGTACCTCTTCTTTCTCCTTCTCCTTTATTATCATTGTTTTTGGCTTCTTTTACATCTATGATTCATTGGGTTTGTTTCCCTTTTATTGGGGTTCATTTAGATGCAAACATTATAGGAGGAGATGTAAGATTCGAGCTCCATGTTGCAACGAGGTTTTCTGGTGTCGCCATTGCCATAACGAGGCATCGGTATTTGTTTTCAACATTTCTTTTGCATTCCACTGTTTTATTTCTCTGTTTTAAAGCTAAAAGTTCGCAATTTTCTGACTGTTTATGCAACTTCTTGATCTGGGTATTTATTGTATTTGTTCTTAAGAACTTGTTAAAGAACCCTTCAGACTGGCACGACATTTTTCGTCAGGACGTTGAACAAGTATGGAATTTTTAAATCGTGGCTTTTCAGTTTATTGCCTTTTTCTTGTTTCCAAGTTAATCATGCTAATGATATGTTTCCCCCCTCCCAATTAGGTTATTTGTTCGGTTTGTGACACAGAGCAGCCGGTTTGTGTTTTGGATTCCATTTTTTTGAAGACACAAATGAACCCTTTTTTGTGTTTCTCAATTTTGATTTTCTTTTCTTTGTTTAGGTTGCTAAACTTTGTTCAAATTGTGGCGTCAATATGGGAGAATACTTTTGTGAAATTTGCAAGTTCTATGATGATGATGTAAGTGTGTGTGTGTGTGTGTGTGTGTGTGTGTGTATTCCCAATATTTAACTAATGCAATAGTTGATAAACTTTGTTCATTTCAATTTTTTTCATCTATCGGTTTAGTTTAAAATGTAAGGAATGTAAGGAATCGTTGATTTTTGTATCCTTGATCTGATTCTTATAAACTGTTTCTTGCTTTCCCTTGATGTTTACCTCTCGATTTCATCCGATGCAGATTGAGAAAGAGCACTTCCATTGCCATGAGTGTGGGATCTGCAGGTTAGTTGCCAAGTTTTAAGCACGTATGACTATTATTTTCCTCTTGATTACTTGAATTCAATGGATGAGAGACTTACTCGAATGGTTTTCGATACAGAGTTGGCAGTCGGGATAACTTTTTTCATTGCAAAAAGTGTGGTACGTACTTGATACCAGTAATCCAATTTCTTACCTTATCATGTATGGTTCAAAGATCTTAGATTCAATCCCATTTCTTACTTTAGGATGGTATTCATGGTGAATTGTATGTGAATAACTGATTGTTCAATTCGAATCAGCTATATTCAGTAATTTGTGTTTCTCGTTTCATGATACGAGTTATCTCAAACTATTCCGACTTTCCCGGTTATCCGCTTTCACCATCCTTCGTGTTTTTACATGCTATGCTTATGAGCTCTATTTCATGTTTAGATTCTTCTAGTTTGATTTAAAACTGTGCTGTTTTGACGGGAAGTCGTCGAAAGCCTCAATCGATTGAGTTAGAAGAAGGCACTTAAACATTTGAATTCCATCCTTTACCAACAACATCTCTTTTAAGGGCACATCTATTCGCACCGCATGATAACTATACATACTTTCGCCACTGTGCAGGATCCTGCTATTCCCTTGCATTGCGAAATAATCATTTTTGCGTGGAGAACTCGATGCGGCATAACTGTCCCATATGTTATGAGGTTCATCTTTTCTACTTTCTGCAATTGTGCTTGATATTCATTCATATATGCTTAAATAGTCCATTTTGTTTATCCAGTACCTATTTGATTCGTTGAAAGATACCACCGTAATGAAATGTGGTCACACAATGCACTGCGAATGTTACTATGAGATGATAAAGCGAGACAAGTGAGTGACGATGAGTTCAGTCTTGTATAAGGTTAATTATTTTCATTTTTCTTCCGAATTTAACTCGGGTGTTTCCTCAGATATTGTTGTCCGATATGCTCAAAGTCAGTAATCGATATGTCTAGAACCTGGAAGAGGATAGACGAAGAGGTAGTGCTTCTTCGATTTTAAGTTCATCAAACTCTAAATACTCATAGTTGACAGCATTGTCTTTGATTTAGTTGCTTCATTCTCTTTTTTGTCCAAGCTGATTCACAACAAAATTATCTTGTTTGCTGTTAGATCGAAGCAACTGCAATGCCAGAGGACTACCGGCACAAGAAGGTGCATACCGTGCTTCTTATTCATATCGGAATCCATTGCTGTATATTCCAATCATGTTTATCGTAACCGATTTAACAATTGAATGCAGGTTTGGATCCTATGCAATGACTGTAACGACACAACCGAAGTTTACTTCCACATAATAGGGCAGAAATGCAGTCATTGTAAATCATATAATACTCGCATGATCGCCCCTCCGGTACTCCCGCATTGAAAAGATCATGGCCGAGGAATGAAGCAAGCAAGCTCAAGGCATCTAAGGCGGGTGCGTCTAATCATAAAATCCGAAGACGAATTCTTGGCTACATGTTTGATCATTTAAACTTGTATTTCATCATTGTATTGTTTATGTATCACTATAGCATATGATTCAAATTACTGTGGCGTTTTCATATCTTTCTCATGAATTTTCTCAGGTTAAACTTTTCTTCAATTCGGAGTCGAGGAAAAAGAAAATGCAATGGTTGATAATGTCATTCATGGTTGGCTAAACCCTCTTTTTTCTGGGCATAATCCTTTCATAATTTTTCGTTCACTACTTTTTAATACATTTATAATAACACGTGGGGTTTAACTTAAAATATTAAGATTATTTATTCTAAAAAATCATGCAATTGTTAATAATTTCTATTTCAACCGATAAGGTTACATTTCAACAAATTTCAACATATAATGTTATCATGTATATTCTAAAAAGTTACATAATTAAAATAATTTTGATTATAATTGAGAATGTTACATGAGTTTCTTGACAATATCTTTTTAAGTTATAACAAGAATAGTTATGCAATTTCCATGATTTATTACATAGTATTTAATATTTTTTGTTTCAAACTAAAACGTTATCCAATTTCCTTTAAATAATTACACATTTGCTAAATTCTTTTATTATAACCAATTGCAACCTCTTTCTGGTTGCCCTCCAAGTTTCCCAGTGCTTTGTTGACTAATTTGGACCGACCTGTATCGCACAATTGATTTTGGTGAGCGAGTCTACTTAAGAAATGATATCGGAGTTATATATATAAACAAAGAGAATATTATCAACAAAGATAAATTTCTTGAATTTTTAAACATTTTTCAACTACTTTTTAGGAATGTGTATTAGAGATGCTAACATCAATAAATGAAGGAAAGAAAGTTAAAATCCCTATAGAATTAGTAAATCTCTTTTGATGCTCTCAATTATGGCATCTACATTTCCATTGATAACAGCAGCTGTAACAGTTAATCTCAATTCCATTTGATTAACAGCAACATTTGCCGCCAAAACCTCAGTCTTATGGTCATGGAACACCATGAAAATGTCCGTCAAAAGTCTCGGTCTTACCGGCGATTGAATCCCAAAGAAGGCGACATTGTTTCTTGACACGGTAACATCAATCGACGAATTCGAGTCCGGATATCGATGATAATTCATGTTTTGATTCCCTTTTGATTCACCATATGATGAGTTGTTGAGCTGATTTTCCAAGTTTGTTATCTCTTTTTCGAGTGATTGGATGTATGCAATCGTTTCACTTACAATGTTCTCTCTTGTGGCCTAAAAGCAAAAAAATCAAAACAAAGAAGAAAAAAAGTGAAAAATTTAAGAAATACCATCATTTTTGGGCGATGTGATCATCAAAATCCGCAGGCTTCTATGAAAAGAAATTTCAAAATAGCTTTCAAAAATCAAGAACATGGACTATCTATATATATACCCAACAACAAATTCTTCGAGTGAAATATAAACAAATATTCACCAGAACAATGGAAGTGAAACAAACAGCTTGCAGAGTAGAAATGAAGCAATCATCAAGAAAGAAAATGACCTTAGGGTAGAGATTAGGGACCATGGAAAGAAGAATATCATAACTCTCAGCCATCTTAAATCTCCTATCTCTTTCCTTCTTCAAACTCTGGGTCGAATCCTTTGCCCCACCAACAATGGCGGCGGCTGTTGAAGAAGGAAGCTGATCTTCTTCTTGTTTCAATGGTGAAAAGTGAGATAATGGAGAAATGACTTTATCAGTGTAACCTTCCATGATGCTAAATAAAAGGTGATTTATTTCGTCGTCTTCTTGTTCATCTTGGGATTTGTGTTTAGTGTTTTGTTGATTTTCCATTGAGTGGATATCTGATTTGTTAAGGAAACCGTTTTCAGAATATTTGGACTGAAGGATTGCAGGGAACCAAACTTTACCAGAAGAATAAAAATGATGATTTTCAACCTGTACCTTTAACCTACTTTTATCTTTCCTTTTTTTTTCTACTTGTTTTTTTGGTTCTTACAGGTTCACACTATAATATATATATATATATATATATATAACAAATGATGCAAGGTAAAACGTTTTTTTTTATTTTATACAGATTTAATATTATTGAATAAGTGAAAATAAATGAGTAAGATTAAATTTTTTCTAATGAATATTTTTTTATTTCTTAATGTTAATATTAATCATCTATTTTTATTTATCTAATAGTTTTAAATCTATTTAAATTAAAATAATTTTATATTATATAATAATATTCTATCCCTAAGAAAATTGTCTAGTTGGATTCAATATAGTGAAAACTCACTGTTTGGGTGTGGAGGAGAGAGAAAACAATTTCAAGTATCAAGTCTTCCTCATCCAAAATGTTTTTCCATTTCTCTCTCCTCCGCATAATCTGATTATTGAGAGGAGACTGCCAGTTTTGGTTGACAGGATTAAAAAAACTGACTTAAAATTTTATGTTAACACATGAATTTTGAAAATAGATTTTTAATAAAAATATATATTTTATGTATAAATCTAAAATATATGGTAATTTTGAATTTTCAAAAAACGATGGTCGCCATCCACTCTCCTCACTCCATCACTAATTAAAAAATAATAAATTTATATATAAATATTTTATTATTGTAATTATTCTTTAAATATTTTATAATAAAACTGTAACACTCCAACCTGTATTCGACCCGAATACGAGTCCGATATGTCACATTGACTTTTTGAAACAATATTCTTGTAAGATAACAAAATATTTGAACTTGTATTAAGAAAATACAATAAAATACTATTAAATTATAATTCATTAGAAAAATTTAAGGCAAAAACGTATTTATGAACAATATTATACGGTATGAACAATACCATGAACAGTACTGTGAACAGTGAAAATTTCGAATATAAATTGTGTATCGATGCACTGCTACAATAATTTCAGCAAAATACGTATAAATTCATAAAAACTTAAACTTTCAGCAGTATAAAATTACCCTTTACATATATACATTTAAAACATTACAAAAACTCATTCATATGATTTTACAAAACCGATTAGAACATATCGGATTCAAACTTTTATTTACATGCCAACCACTATCATTATTACAAAATACATAATATACATTTTCTTATCTGACCTTTGGAAAGGAGAAACTGACCTGTCTTGCATAACTTTTACCAATCTTCCTCTTCTCGGAACCTACGCGTGAAACAATCACACGCTAAGTCATTGACTTAGTGAGGCATGAAAACATATGATATTACTCTACTCATATCAATGCATAAACAATTAATACTATCATATCATATAAAAGCATATCTCTCATTGTATAACCAATGCACACATATACATATATCATTAACATACTTATCAGTACTCATATTACTATCACTAATTCCTTTTTATCATGTAAGAATATATTGAACCTTTCTATACTCAACATCGCGTATTCATGTCATTTCACAATAAAGCACACATATTATCATATCAAGTTATTTATTATCTTTAAATCTCATGTATTAGCCCATGTATACTTTTGAGAACTTAAGGTATGTGAGTACATTGAGGTTGTGCACCACTATGTTGTCACTACAGCTCGTATAAATGTCCCGAATGACCTATCCAAAGGTCATACAAAACCTCGGCAACTGTCCATAGGTCCCGAAGAACCTAGGTAAATTGTCTATATGTTCCCTTAGAACATAGGTATACTGTTCATATGTCCCGAAAGACATAGGTAATTCTGTTTATATATTCCGTAGAACATAGGTAAACCCTTGACTCTTGGTATGCCAACTATACCACTAGCTCTCATATCACATAACATAGGTATTATCATTTATATCATTTCACACATTAACATGCATATTTCACTTTTCATATGATTTCATAATCATATGTCACTTTTCTTATAACACTTCTCTTGTGTTCATATGACATGTAAATCATTGGCATCTCTTGTTCTCATATGATTCCCATATATCACATTCATATCACATATTCATATAGGCTGTAACATCCTCAATATCGGGTTAGTAACTAAATTAAAAAAAATTAGAAATTGGTGATTAAAGTAGGATAATTGAATAGTTCAATGATTTATTAGAAATATAGTTGAAGGTTGTTTGGTAATTATTGAATGAATTAAAGGGTAAAATGGTCAATTGACAAATAAGATTTTTATTCTTCTTTTATAAGAAAAGGGAACCACGTGGAAAGGGAGAGATTTCTCCAGAGTTCTCTTCTTCTCCTTTCTTCTTCTTCACATGGAAGCCAAGAGCAAAGGTAAGTTTGATTTATCTGTTGACTTCTTGAATTTTTTAAGTTGGATTTGAGTCTTTGGGGATTATATAAGCTTAAGGAAATCTTATATAAGTTTAAAACACCAAGAAGAGAGAATTAGAAAGGAATTTCTATTAAGAGTTTATACATGTACTTTTATTATAAAAAGGTTTTTGAAGTTCTAAGGATGAATTTGACTTGTCAAGGGTCTAATTAAGAAGTTAGAAGTAATAGAATTGAATTTGGAACATGTTGAAAATTTAGTGTAATTCTTGAATTACATATGGAGAATAGGATTTTGATGTTAAAGAGGTGATTAATGAATATAAATGAGTTTGAATATGAGTATGTAAGTTAAGAATAAGAAAGGGGATGATATATGAAGTAATTAAGCTGAAAAGAGTGAATTTTCGGGCATAAATCGGAATTCTGGGCTAGTGTGCATCGGTGCACATTCATCATGTACCGATGCATCAAGGGTAAATTTCCAGAAATTGTCCCATTAAAATGGAAACATCAAATGCAATTAGTGCATCGATGCATAAGGAGTGCATCGATACACCCCCTTAAAATGAAAACATTGAAAGTGATTTGTGTATCGATGCATGGGTAGTGCATCGATGCACTTCAAGGGAAAATAGAATAATACCTTTATTTTGATCTAAGAAATGATAGATTAGTGTATATTAATTGGATACTAATATGTATCAATGTATGATTATATAGATGTAACATCCTCAATACCAGGTTAGTGACCAAATTGTAAAGTTTCAGAAATTGGTGATTAAAGTAGGATAATTGAATAGTTCAATGATTTATTGGAAATATGATGAAGGTTATTTAGTAATTATTGAATGAATTAAAGGGTAAAATGGTAAATTGACAAGTAAGATTTTGATATTCCATTTATAAGAAAAGGAACCACGTGGGAAAGGAGAGAACACCACAGGCTTCCAGAGTTCTCTTCTTCTTCTTTCTTCCTTGTACGTGTAAAGCAAAATAAAGGTGAATTTTCTGATTATTGAGTTTCTTGTTAAATTTAAGATTGAGTTTTGATTATTAGATATCTTAAAATCAAAGGATGATGGAGTTAGAAGAGATTAAAGATTAGAGGTTTTTGAATGAAATTTTGGAATAGAGTTCATATATAGAATTGGAAGTTAAATTTGACTTGTCATCAATCTAGTTAAGACATATTAAGGGTTAGAAGTTGAATTAAATCATGTTGCAAAGCTAGTATAATTCTTGGAATTCACAAGGAGGATAGGATTATGAGGTTTAAGATGAAATAAATGAGTATAGATTGGTTTAAGTATGTGTACTGGAGTTAAGAATATAAAAGGGGATGAAACATGAAAGATTTAAGCCGAAATGGATGAGTTTTCGGGTTCAAGATATGAATTATGGGCAGAGTGCATCGGTGCACATTCAAAGTATACCGATGCATCAAGAGAAAATCCAGAATTTATTGAAGGTGCATCGATGCATAAGGAGTGCATCGATGCACCTGCTTAAAATACAAACATCGAATAGGATTTATGCACCGATGCATGGGTAGTGCATCGATGCACCCGTCAAGGGATGCATCGATACATGGTGTAGTGCATCGATGCATACCTTCAATAAGAGATGAAAATAGCTTTCTTTTAGCCTAAGAATTAATAGTTTGAAATATATCAATTCGTATGCTGATATGTATCAATTTATGATCATATAGATATCAAGCACGAACAAGTTCCATAACGATTATCAAGTTAAGATTCGATCGAAAGAGATGAAAGCATAAAAGTGGATTAAAACTTAGTGAGGCCAAGGTGAGTGCATATGCAGTAGTATATGATATGTGTGGAAAAGACTCGCGATGAGTCTACTTCCAATATTTGATTACATGATTTTATGAATATTAATATGAGTGATATGATTATTATTTATGCATGAATATAGTCATAGGTGTTATATGTGAACATGTGAATTATATGAAAAGTGATATGAATTATATGAAAAGAAGCTATATGTATACATGTATATGTGAAAGAAGCTATAAGCTTATATGAAAAGGTGATATGAAAATGTATATGTGAAATGATATAAGTGAAAATGCCCATGTTATGTGTAAAGAGAGCTAGAGGTATAGTTGGTATGCCAAGAGTCGAGGGTTCTACGCGGTCATTCGGGACATATATGTATTCTTTGGAACATTTACAGGGTCTTGTGAGACACATATGTGATCATTGAAATATGCATATGGTTCTTAAGGAGTGGTCATTCGGGACAAATACAGTACATAGGTCCTTCGGGACAAAATTCATAGCCCCTAGTAGGACTCCATACGAGCTGTGGTGACAGTATAGTGCACAACCTCAATAGACTCACATATCTACAGTTCTCACAGATGTACATGGGCTAACAAAGAGATACCAATAAAAATATATTGCATGTAAAGTATATGCTTTTGTGATATGAATTGTATTATATGATTAATATGATGAATGAAGTGTACATTTGATTAAATG